TACATATTTATTGAAAAAAATAATTACAAAATGATTTGTTAAACCATCTTTTCTCTAATTACTTTTTTTTTTTTGAACATTTAGGCCTATAATGTCCGTACTCGCCACAGTTCCCACATTGGTTTTGACGTTTGGCCGGCTTTAATTCCTCTGATCGCTTGATTCGTTTAGAACTTTTTGGTCGTCCTTTCACCTTACGTTTTTTTGGATTTTGAAGAGGTATATCAGATAATGAATTAGTTTCTTCATATTCTTCATTATCGTCTAAGCTATTACTGTACATCTCCTCATTATCATCATTGGCTAGGCTGTTTACTAACTCTTCTTCCTGTATTTCAGTTAATAAATTTTGTAGCTTTTCAAGAACATCTTGTCTATGAAGTTGAACTGCCTTTTGCATGATATTTCGTGCAACTCCCCATAATTCTCCATATAGCTTTCGTTCATTAATGTTTTCCTTTCTTTTGTCCCAGAGATCAGCCGGTATAAACAATCTATTTATATTAGACCTTGTGAATTCTGTAGGTTGATCTTGAGAAAAGTTCTTACTAAAACGTATAGCAACATAATAAGGCTCTTCCTGTAAATCGCCATGAATGTCCTTGTACCATCTTTTATGAATATATGTAATATGGAATGCAGCTACATGACTACATAGCATCACCTGAAAAAAGTGACGGCAAACTACCCCACGATTTACAAGCCCCAAACAAGAGCATACATAAGTCTTATCAGAAAGAAGGACAACAAAATGACAAAATGTCGAAGCTATAATTATACGGATGGCCCAGATTTCCTCTATTTCGTTGATATCTATATTTTCCAATATATACTTAATTGAAATTTGCATAATATTTTCGTCATCTTCTACAAACGAGATATTATCTGACTCGGGCTTAAATAGAATAAGATTCTGTAAGTTCAGTATTATTTTGCAACATTATCTCTAAAAAACAATACCGTATTTTCGTGAAATAACGCCCCTGCGCGTTATTTCACGAAAATACAGTTATAGTACATACCTCTTGATATTTAATCATTTCATCTTTTGTGATAGCAGATGCATGATAATTTAGGCAACTTT